TCAAAATCATCATCATGACATTACAAAATACAGTGGCATTAAAAAGTAGTCACATCACAGCAAACTATTGACACTTTCATCATCATAATCATTACACCAATGTGTCTGCATCATGTTTTAGGCTCCATATTATCGTCTAAACTCATGATTATTTTGAATACTGGAGAAACCCAAGGGAATAATCATGTTAGAATATCATACTTTTTAAATTAACCTTGAAATAGTTATACAAAATAGAAAAATCTTTATGATAGCTTATAATAGAAAAGAAAGAAAGATCTGGCAGTGTAAGGTAGAACTATGCATTATAACTATGTAGTTAATATTCCTCCTTTCAGTTGCTCAGTTTGGAATTCACCCTACTCCATTTTGGGGAGGACGTATAACAATTTGAGATATAATTCACATATTCTACAATGCACCTATTTAAAGTACATAGAATCAATGGCTTTAGTGTATTCACAGGAATGTACAACCATCAACAATCCATTTTAGAACAATTTTTATCATCCAGTTAGTAATCATACATCCCCTTTACCCCCAAGAAACCACTATATTTACTTTCTGTCTATGGATTTGTCTATTCGAGACCATTTTACATAAATGGAATCACGGCATGTGGTCTTTTGCATCTGGCTTCTTTCACTTAGCATATTGTTTAAACTTCACTCATCCATATTGTAGCATGTATGTCAGTACTTCATCCTATCCCATTTTATATATCCCTCAAACGCCCCCCTAAAAAACTCAAACCAGTCTGTAACTCTACTGTTACTAAAAAAGAAGGTCAGCAAATTCTCTCTTTTGAAATGGAGTTGTCAAGTGAAATATTTATTATAGTATCTTACGGTGTTATGATTTTTAAATGTCGTTTTCTTTAGCTTCATCTATATTTTTCAAATGTTCTATTCCAAATAGGTATTACTTTAATTAGAAAAAAACGTTTGTGAGGAGGAGGAGGAGGAGGACAGACCCCAAAAGATACGTGCAAAAAGTGCACATGACCAAGTATTCGGTTATATAGAAGTTGTTTTTCTATTTCAGGTGAAAATAAATTTTTTAGGGCTGTACCTATGTTGTCAAAGCACCAGAGATGCCAAGCTGGACCCAGGTCTTACAACTGAGCCGCAGTTTGGCTCTCCCTCCAAAGTGAGTGTCCACACTAACCGAATGGCAATGCAACGCTTACTCCACTGCCGTGGAGGCATACCCCGCATCCTCCTATGGGGTAAATCTGTTACCATACACTTAATATCTTCCTACTTTTTCAAATTGAACGTTTATTTGAAGAAATAATTTCCAAATAACTAATAAAATCAGAAAATCACAGACAATCACAGTTGTAAATCTATAAAGACTTTATCTTAGAGCAGGCCTTGAAAAACTCAAACAGGACAACAAAAGAAGGTAAAGATTTCCGGTCTTAGTTGATTTCCTGGAGGAATGCTGGAATGTCATGTAGTGATCTGCAAATATGAAAAGGCCCTGCAAGGTTCTGAGCAGCTGAACGGTAGTTCTCAAACGTCTTGACCCTTACACTCTTCATGCTTTGTGCTCTCTGGCTGCATATCCTCCTCACCTGCCAGTAAGAAATGGTCGAGCATTCTATAGTTTGTACCATAAAGACAAAAACAAAGCGTAGGGAACGTACTTTTTCCAACCATACATGCTGCCCTGACAACCCTGCTCCACTAAGAGTCACTTAACAGAGAGCAGTCAGTCATTTTTTCTTAATAAAACATTTAGGCGGGACATGCTGAACAAAAATCTGCTTATCTGTTTCTAGGTAAATTACTTCCTTCTAAGCAAACTAAACATTTTACTTGCTCTATCTGACAAAAGAGATAAGTCATTTACATAAAATTTCTCATTACCTCTTTTAATACTGATATCATGTTCAATTAAGCTTTTGCCCTTAACTATTAGCCTTACACTTTGTGCTTTCTTCGTGAAGTATCTCAGTGTAGTGGAAAAAACCTTTTAGACCTAGATTTGAAGACTTGGCAGCAATGAACAAGTTAATTAGTCTTGCCATGCTTCAGTTTCCTTACCTCTAAAAATGAGGCTAAAAATACTTACCTTATAGGATATGAACAATTTATTATGCAAGACAGTGTATATAAAGGGACTAGCTTTACACAGGTACATGGTAAACTTTAGTTTCCTTCTCTTTCCCTATCAAACATAGCTCATGTTAGTATGCTACATAGTGTTAACAGACATTTGTTTTTAAGAGTAAAATCCATAATCAAGATCATTAAATCTTATAAAGTTTTTCAAATTTTGTATACTGGCTAGTTTTCACATGTATAACATGCTTCCTGCAATGTTAACATTTAGGTAGCATGATGAAGGAAGACTTTCAATAAAATCTTTAAAAATAGCTAAATGGATATAAATGAGGTGTCACATTTCAGCTTATTTTCACCCCTGTCCCCTGCAAAACAATGACCACTATTGGCTCTTAGATTACTTAAACTCTTTTTTAAGAGTGAGAGAGGGTACCATCTCTAAAAGAGAGAAAAAATAAATCATATAGCACCCTTTAAATAAATTACTGCTTTAAATGCTGCAACTTCATAATAAGCAGAATGTTTCTTTTGGAGAAAACACAGGAACATTGTACAACGGTATTACCTTCAATATTCTGGTGGTCTATAAAAGGTGCTGGTCCCCATATTCTAACAGTGCCATCATCTGAGGCGCTGGCCATCATGGATGGAATCTGTGGGTTCCAGCTCACACAGTTTACTGTACGTGTATGCCCTGTCAGCTCCGCAATTGGCAGTTCACTACGTTTGTGCCAGATGTAAACCTTGTGATCTGAATACACAGTAATTTAGAGAAAAGTTAGGGAGTTGTTTTACATTAACAAAACCAACTGATCTTAAGTTTGTCATTCACTGCACACAGAATATATGACTTTTGCTTACTAGAACTTAAAGGGAGAACAAGTATAACATGAAAAGTTTAATAAATTACCTTATGAAAAGCCATTTTAATAAAATACACTTTTTTCCTGTTAAAGATGATCAGCTCTCAAGTCACAAAAAAAAATCTATCTACAATATATCTGTCAACACATGAGTAATAAATAATTACAAATTGAGGTCCTTGGACATAAGGACATAAACAAATCCGGGATAGGGATAATGATAAAATCTATGGAAATGTGAGGTGACAGAAAAGCAATGTATCGGCCAGGTGCAGTGGCTCACACCTATAATCCTAGCACTTTGGGAGGCCGACGCAGGAGGATCGCTTGAGGTCAGGAGTTTGAGACCAGCCTGAGCAAAATCAAGACCCTGTCTCTACAAAAACTGAAAAATTATCCAGGCATAGCGGTAAGTGCCTGTAGTCCCAGCTACTCGGGAGGCTGCGGTGAGAGGATTGTTTGAGCCCAGGAGTTTGAGGATGGAGTGAGCTATGATGACCCTACTGCACTCTAGCCCGGGTGATAGAGTGAGACCGTGATATATTCAAATTCAAAAACAGTAACAATGAAGATGATAGCTAAACTCTTACTGGGTGCTTACAAAGTACCAGATACCAAGCGCTGTATGTACATTATTTAATCTTCACCACTATCTCACCCTTTTTATGGTGACTGGAACTCTGTGAGGTTAACAGCTAGTAAATGGTAAAGTTGGGTTTCAAATCCAGAGGAGCCCTGCTCAAGAGCTTACTAGTGAGTTTAGACAATGGACCCTTATCTGCACCATAATATGGCTTTGTAGTAGACTATTTATATAATCTCATGAAATGACTATAAAAAACAAACTGGGCACAGTGGCTCACATCTATAATCCCAGTACTTTGGGAGGCTGAGGCAAGAGGACTGCTTGAGGCCAAGAGTTTGAGACTAGCCTGGGCAACATAGTAAGTCCTCATTTCTACAAAAATAAATAAAAATAAATTCGCCAGGTATGGTGGCGAATGCCTGTAGTCCTAGGTACTTGGGAGGCTGAGATGGGAGAATCGCTTAAGCCTAGGAGTTCGAGGTTGCAGAGAGCTATAATCATACCACTGCACTACAGCCTGGGTGACAGAGTGAGACCCTGTCTCTACAAACCAACCAAGCAACCCAAAATCCCTACAGCGTTCTTTCTTTGCGATAAACTAATCTTCAAAAACAAACCACAACAACCAAATAGTACAAAGTATTGGTTATAGACTCTGGAACCAGACTACCCAAAATCACATCCGTTCTCCAACTTAGTCACTAGCTATGTAACTTTGGGCAAGTTACTCATTCTTTGCAACTCTTCATCTGTAAATGGGGATACTTACCTCATCTTGTTGTTATAAGAGGATTAAATACATTTGTATAGGAAGAAGTGTTTTGAACAGAGTAAATACCATGTCACTGTGAACAGATTAAGTACAGGTGATGGTTCTTGAACAGAAGGCAGAGTCTCAGGCTGAACTGGAAGGGTGTTTAATCTGATAATGTACCAGTCAACTATGTGGTCAATGTGGAAACTATCAGCGGGTATGCTGCCAACTGGGGAAACTTCATGAAGAATGTGCCCTAGTTTTAAAACTTCCAACATAAAAATAAAAAGCTGAGCCTATTATCTGAATCTTTTTTGTGTGTGAAGCAAAAGCTGCAAGGCACTAATTGAAGAAATGGATTTATCTTTCTTAGAAGGTATTTGTTGTTCAGTAATTTTTGAAAATAATTTTTTCTTGCATAAAATGAAATTAGAAAGAAAAAGAAAAAGGCAGATTAGCCGTGTTTCCCTTCTAAATTGAAGAGGTCTAAAAGGAGAAAGATCATAGCGTTAAAGTGTGATACAACTGAAACGTTCCTATGTGCAAAGGAAAATGCTTTCATGAATATATAATACGAGGAGGATACTAGCTGAAGAGGCAGCAAAAAAAAAAAAAAAAAAAAACCAGGATTTGATGTAATCAAGGTCAGAATGACAGGCTTTATGATCAAGCTCTGCTTGCTCTATCAGTCTGGGAAATCCACTGCTTCTGCAAGCGTAAAAAATATGTCTAGTTTTTCTATACATTGCCAGCACAATGAAAAAGCTTGAGTGTGGCACAACTTTTTGGGGAAAAGGTTTCCTAATTGCTCTATTTTACACTGGCATTTTATATATAAATGTTTGGGGATTTGGAGGGTCCTTCCAATTAAGTGGCAAATGGATTACTGCAGTCATGGTATATTCACTATTTCTGGTGTTCAAAACATTTTCAGAACCATTCTAAAGCACTTGAGTCATAAGAAAACTAATCTCTTTACTTTATAATTGTCTCATTTTTAGCTCTAAACAGAATAAAATGTGGTTTAATTATATGATTCAGCAGGCTTGGTTCTAAGTTAGTTTGGGCTTAAAAAAAGTTTGTCATCAATAGAGATAATGGTAGCTGTACATACTTTTCAGCACCTCTAGGGTATATATTTTTAGAGAGAGCTATGGGGGATTCTGCAGCACAATTAAGAGAAAAAAAAAAAAACTAGCAGAAGCAAGACTGAATAGACCATGGGGGAAGAGAGCTTAAGAATAGGAGGAACTAAAAAGCAAATAGAAGTAGAAGGTTTTAACATATTCAGACCATAGAAAAAGTCAATTAGAAACCAATGGAGAATTTGGAAGACCATAACATGGTACAACAGATAAATCATTTGATTGGAAAAAAGTGAATTCACACTTGTTACCTAACAAACCACTCCTCTCTCCTCCCAATCTTGTCTGACACCAATTTTTTGGGGAAAGAAGGAATAGAGAAATTCATGTGCTTGATGTTAAAATCTAAATCTCTAAATAACTCTCCTTTTCCAATCCTTAAATATACTTTATTCTCAAAGGAAAAACTTGTTTTACTTTATGATCCTATTATCTATTAAAATCAGTTTTTGGTCAAGATAGGGACATCTACAATAAATGGAACATAACCAAAAGTGTTTACCAACATAATATAGTTCCTTGGTCTATCTTATAAAACTATTTTTAAAAGTGCCTTAAATAATTTGCTTCTATAGTACCTAGAACTGTATAATGAGTATGCAAGAAAAATGTGTTGAATGAAAACTTGCAGTAATTTGCCATTAATTATGTTCCTATCACCTTAAAAGTACACTAAGTTTTACTATTGTCTCACTTATTTGTGTTTGCATCTTTTAAACAATTTTTATTTTATTTTTTCTTGTCTATTATTGTCTTTTCTATGTTACCACCTTTTGTGAATCCAGAACAATTCGTATTTTAGATTAGACAGACTTAAGATACATGCCTGCCCGGAATACTGATGCTTTTAGACTGGAGAACAAATTTATTCACAAGAGTAAGAGTACGGATGAGTCTCTTAATTTTGGTTTTTCTGAAACTGTAAGAATTATCAAACTGAATTAATCTCTATGGTCACTGAAGAAATACTGAAGATCTAACTATAGTCAATTCTGTCCAAGCTCAGGTAAAACATAACTAACTTTAACCTTTTAGACACTACGAACCCTTGAAAACTACCAGTCCCATGAAAAAACAACCCAGCATATGAAAATATACAATGATTTAACTAAATCTTGATTTGATACACGCCCCAAACACACCTCTACATGGTCAGAACAGGCACTACAGATTTGTAACAATAAGGAGGGTGTAAGTCATTACAAAAAAGGGAAATTAACAGTATATTGGATAAATAACTCAAAAAATTTGTAATTTAATATCTTGAATTTTCTTGGAGACACGACTACCTTCATAAATTGAGAGAGAATTAAGAAACTTTAATATCAATACGTGTAAACTGATATAACACAATTTACCTTCACTGCCACTGGCGATGAAGTCTTCATTATGGCCTCCAAAACATGAATGAATTGTATAAAACCCTTGTGTAACACCTTGATACTTTCTTACTAAAACTCTGTCTTGCAAGTCCCATAAATGAACTCCCTGCAGGCAAAAGAAAATACAGGTATTTATTCTACCTCAACTCAAAATAATTTTAAAAAGTAATCTGTGAATATCTCTTTGCTTGATAGAACACTTTTATTTTCTATTTATGAAAAATGCCAATGTTCTGATAAATTTATGGTTGATTCTACATATTTAAGGATCAAACACATGTAACAAAATTTAATAAGTAAAATATGTTATATACTAATATAATTAGAATAAAACTTATACTAAGCTAAATTTTTCTGAAAATTACATTAAAAAACATACCTGAGTTGCTACATTTAACAAAGCTAATCGGCCATTTTTTGAAATAGTAAAAGACATAATAGGATGATCTTCTTGTACTCTGCAACCAGAAAATAATTTGTCAAAAACAACATATTAAGAATGAAGACATTCAAATTATAAATATAAAATGTTCCAGCTTAATATATCAAAATATAAAGTGTTCTAGCTTAAATATGACAATTTTGCCTGCAATCATTATCATGCACTGTACTTCAACCGAGAAGAATCTGAGTTAATGATTACTAAGTACTACCTGACCAACAATACAAATTACCAATCAAATCAAAACCAAAACAAGAAACATAATCAAAGCTGTTTTGAAAAAGTTCTATACATTTTAATATAAATCAGATAATTGCTATTTAATAGAAACAAAAAATAGTTACATGTTCCTATCCGTAAGGTCCTCGAAGTTATATCCCCGAATTCGCTGGTGTGTATCTGATGCCAGAACAGTCTTCCCGTCACTCAAGCACCAAAGGCATTGCACTCTCACCCCTTCCCAAGAGTCAAGGAGATTACCGTCTAAATCCTGAGCAGGAGAAAACTACTATTAACTCCATTGCTGAACAGCACTCAGAAAGCAAACAGAGAACCAAAAGAATCTCTTCACAATATCTTTTAGTAATAGGTTTGTTTTTTCCTGAGCTTGATCTCAACCTAATTGTTGAGTGTTTTTCTTATAGTGTTTTGCACTGTAAGAATTTGAATATAGATCAAATTTCATTACAACATTACCTAAGAGTGGATGGGAAGATGTGTAAATCTATTTTTCTTCAGTAGCCCATTATGTATAAACAAAATAAAAAGAAAGAAACAATCCTAATTTCCAAGTAAGGTCTCACTTTTATTAGAAAAAAAATTCAAAAACTCCTTTAAAATTCACTATACTGGAATTTGTCATATAATATTCAGAAGTTATGATATTGAAAAAGATTACTAAAACATCCTATAGCTTTATACAGAACTTAGGAATCTGTTACGATATTTTTCAAAACTTTACCAAATTTGTAATGTGCTCTATGGATCAAAGCTCTTACAGTTGTTATCTTAATACATATTCAAAGTTCTGAGAGGAATTACTGTTCCCATTTTATAGATTAGAGAATTACCAAGTCCAGTACCCTGAAGGCTTAAACACTATATGGGACAGCAAAGTCAGAAGAAACACACATGGTTGTCTTGCACCCTGAGAACTGAGAACAGCTTATAATCATGCTGAGATAATATGACACTAAATTCCATGTGTTTCAAACCAGCTTAATAAAAGAAACTGGTAGCTTGTTTTAGCTAAATTAAATGGTTTATTATCTTGCTTAATTTAACTTTAAAAAATAAATCTGGGCCAGGTGCAGTGGCTCACATCTATAAATTCTAACACTTTGGGAAGCTGAGGTGGGAAGATTGCTTGAGCCCAGGAGTTCGAGACCAGTTTGGCCCATAGCAAGACCCTGTCTCTACCAAAAAAAAAAATTAGCTGGATGCAGTGGTGCATGCCTGTAGTCCCGGCTACTTGGGAGGCTGAGGCAAGAGGATCACTTGAGACCAGGAGTTTGAGCTATGATGACACCACGGCTCTAGCCTGGGCAACAGAATGAGACCCTGTCTCCAAAAAAATAAAATCTGAAACTGTCTATTAGAACTATTCAAGGCAGTCATATGAGACAAGACAGAATCTAGACAAAATACTAATGACACATTGGTATCACTGTTTACTGTGTCGTAAGACTTTTTTACCTGTTACTTTTATCACTCCAACAATCCAAGATAATTGGAGCAGCTACTGAGCAGAAGATAACCCAGAGACTGAAAAGTTCTCTGGCAGCACTTGTCACCAATATCCCTCAAATATTTAAGACAGTCTATCCACGAAATTCAGCAATTTTTTTTTTGGTTACAAAAATTTAAAGGGCAGAAAATCTCAAAAGCAATTAAATGCTAAATATTTCCATTCCTGTAAATTAGAAATTTGCTTATAAGAACAAAAATGTTTAGCAAAATAAATTTTTTGTTTTACTAAACTCAAAGTCTATACTTTATACAAACATTTCAAGTCATTAAATGAATGAAGGAAAAAATAACAAAATTCTATAGGACGGTGCTTGCCTAGGAGGATGGTAAAGTAGGTCTTTATATAGCATACTTTATAAAAGATATTGAGTCAAGTGAATTCTTTATTTAAACACAACTAAATTTGCTTTTAAACAAGTAGACATTGAGAAGGGGACACTGAATACTCACACACTGATAGAACTGCCCACGCTGACCTCCAGTCACAAAGCGCTTCCCATCTGGATTCCAAGCCACACTTGTTAAACTGTCTTCATGAGACTGGCTCATTTTTGTCCTCAGTTCTCCTGTCTACAAGGAAATAAAACTGTGGATAAGACCTTCAAGATAACCCTCTAAAGGGAATGTATAAAGAAAAAAAAAGAATGTGTAAAAAAAAAAGTAACTGGGATATCTGATGAATTTGATATTTCTAATTAGAGAAATCAATTGTTTCAACCAGTCCTACCAA